TTGGTATTTTTCTTAACAGTAAGTTTATATAAAGTAGTCACAATGTCTAAATAAAATATGAAGATATTCACTTATCCTTAACTGTCTCCCTTACTGGTCTCACAATGCACAAATTCTCTTATTTTGAGAATTACTCTTTTGCATTACAATGGCTCTCATCCTGGTTGTGATTTAGAAATATATTTTAGATATTTAAATAATTCTTTGGGATGGAGTGTAATTACATATTTCAATTTATTATTTTTTAAAACAAAAAAACATTATCGAGATATAGTTCACATTTCATAAATTTCACCCACTCAAAATATGCAACATAATAGTTTCTAATTGTTCACAGAGCTGTGAAACCATCACCCCAATCAATTTTAGAGCATTTTCATCATCCCAATCCCTCAACCCTATCAGCAAACTATCCTCTCTCTCCCACAGGACCTCTGAGATTCTGAGTTCACAAATCTGAGTTTGGAGGTTGAAGGTTGAAGGTAATCTGGGATTCTGAACTTAAAACAAAAAAGAGATGTGGACATCTGTGGGGTTTTTTAGGGAGAATCCACTATGGGAACACTCTTCCTCTTTTAGTTTTAGGAACTGTTCCTTTCCTAATCACAATACAAGGAGCTGAGTGCTACTTCCTACTTCCCTTTCTCTAATTCTAGGGTGGGCCCAGTCCCCAGGCCTTGACTAGTTGTATGTTGAATATTTTGGCACACTGGTACCAACAAAGGTATGTTGCTCAGTTCAGATCAGTAAGAGACAAAAAAGTTGTTTTAGCAGTAATATTTGGGGAAGACACAGGTCCTTTCTCTGGGTCAGTAAAGTAAAATAATTTTGGTCTCAAGCTTCTGGTGTGAATAATTTCACTAGGTAAGGAAAGCATGCCTGAGAACAAAGCAAATGAAACAGGAAGGAAAGCAGAGTCCGAAGCAAAACATTATGTAAAACATTATACAAAAGCTTGTATCAAACTATGGCCAGAGCCTACTCTGCTTTGTATCTTCCCATCTCTTGAACCAATAAAGAATCTTTTCTACTAAGCCAATTTGAACTGGGTTTTGGTCTCTTTTTGAGCAAAATAATTGCAATTAAGACAGTTTTTGAACCTGAACACATGGTTTACCTACATCTTCAACTACCTGGAGAAGTGACTCCCTCTCCCTGTAGTTACAGGTCTGATCAGTGTTGAGAAAGAGAGGCCGCAGACAGCAGGAAGTTCCCACAGAGCCTGTGGGCACTGTGCGGCAGAAAGGGAGGTAAGTTTCCATCTAGACTTCTTTAGAAGAGAAATCCAAAATTAAACGTATCACTTAACAATGTTACTAGGGCCTACCTAGTAACCAATATTCTGAGGCAATGAATTTTAACAAGTTTAGTCACCTTTCCATTCTCCCTCCTTTTTCATTCACCATATTTTCCAGACACTCAATGTTCAGCCTGGCTTAAACCACTGAAAATGCCAGCAAAGACGGATGCAACTGAAGCTCTGGCACACAGATTCCATCTATCTTACTACCAACGATGTGATACAACCTTCCAAATGGCCTACTCCTGAAGTCTTGAATATTTATGATGTTCCAATATTCTGGCTCTTCTTCATCCACTCTGACTACAGAGAGCTACTGTGGATTTCAATAAAGTAAGAAAAATACACAATGAAATAACTAAGTTTAAATTTACTAGGCAGCTCTTTTCAACTTGCAGAGCTTTAGGGCAATTTAAAAACACAGCTAAGGGAGAAAGTAATCTGTTTGCTCTAAATAAAGGAGTCTCTTCCTTTTCCATTGACATGCATCAAGTATAATCTCACGGAATGTCAGGCTTTATATTTTGGTCATGCTCATCCTTAAGGATATTTTCTTATTTTAAAGATCTAGTAGTTAGGAAGCAAGGACATTAAACATAATGTAAAGGGACTTCTGGTGCTTTCCTAGAAGGCAAGAGATAAATCTATAACCCAAGAGGTCACCATATCCCTAAAATTGAAGTCCAGGTTTTACTGTACAAAAAAGAAAAAATTAGTGTGCATAACTTTGAGTAACTATGATTATTCCTTCTTAACTATAAAGCTAGATGTAAGGAAAAGGCATTATAAATCATAATTTCTTGTTAAGAGACTATCATTATTACTTAAAATTACATATTTGAAAGGACATAAATGCTGTGATTATTATTCTCTAATATAGACTTATTACAGATAAAGGTTTAAGTAAGAATAAACCTGTAAAAAGAAGATAAGTATTTTCATTATATTGCACTTGGAAATGTTAGAGCACAAAAATTACAAAGCTATATACCTGCTAAGGATTTATACTTTCTGTGAATGTTTGCCTCAACTAAAAACTTACTAAAACATAAATATTAATATAAACTACAAAAATGCTATTAGTTTTATGTTAAGCTAATACTTCATTTTTTAAAACAAATGGGAAATTGCTAAAATTCCTGTGCTATGTGTGTGTGTGTGTGTGTGTGTGTGTGTATATATATATATATGATATATATATAGATTCATATATATATATGAGATATAGATATATATATAGATTCATATATATATACGATATATATATATATAGATTCATATATATATGATATATATATATATATATATATATATATATATATATATGGTACCAGGGATTGACATATGCCTTAAGACTATTGAATTCTCTTTCCCTCAGAGTCTACATTTGTTTCTATGTCACTTAGCTTAGTTTTAACTTTGACTTAGGATATTTTTGAATTATTAAAAGAGAAATAAAACTAATTCATTTTTCTGAAGTAATGCATTCATTTGCAAAATTACTGTTATTCATAGTTTCATCCTGCTTTAGTTCAGGTCCTTTATGCTAATCTCACATAAAGACTTTTCCTCATCAGTGTCAAATATGCAATTTTGACACTCATTTCCTATTTCCTATCTCATTTCCTATTTCATTTGCTCATTTACTCATCAAATTCTTCAACTTGGTCTTCTCAAAATTTTAAATACAAAAATATGTACAATAACCCAGAATGTGATGGGAATAAGTTCATAGAATCTCTTCACTAATAATAATGCTAAAACATAATTTAATGTAGATTGTATATTATGAGTGTTATCTAAGATAGTACATACTGATTTAAGATTCACATTGCCTATGACTCTACCAAGGAAAATTTATACATAAAATAATAATTATAATAAAATATATACACTTTAGTCAAATTATAACCAACAGTTGTCATTGCATAACTTTCATACCCAAGGTAGAGTATGTTCCTTAAATATCATTTTTTTCATGTAATTTTATGTGGCTTTAAGTAAATTTTCTCCTAGTTTTGAATATGAAATCCTTCAAGATATTACTATACATGGGGGTTAAACATATATTATTATCCTTTAGACTATTTTGACTAATTAGCATTACTGACACACAAAAAAACGTACCTTGAGCAAGTATTTAATAAGTTCTTGACCATTTGATAAATCAAGACAGTAATTTTTAAAAATAGTTAAATAATTTTGTGTGTTTGCAATTTATACTAACATTACATGGAAATGAACTCAAAACTAATTCCAAAGGAAAACTCAAATAATAGAGGCTCAGTATTAAAGAAGTAGATATCAATTTATGGAGAGTAGAACCTTATGATCTTCTTATAGAATGGAGTTTATAAGTGAGAAAACATTTTTTATCTGCTTTTCCTTCTTCATTTCCAATAGCAATATGCATGTATAGGAGTCACTATTTCAGACGATGACCTAATTAACTTAGTTTAACTGTGTTCCAGTCATTATGCATGGGAGACTAGCTGTAAACAAGAGCCTATTTCTGACCTCTAGAGTATAGAGACTAATCTAGAATCTCTAAACCTGAACTTGATGACAGAATTCTGCTTTAAATTCCTCAAGTCTCATCCGGAATCTGTGTATTAGCAAACTCTTCCTTTCTCCTCACAGAACTTCATAAACACATTCACTTCTAGATGACTTTATACATGGATTTCACTAGTTCAGCTCTGTTTTATTGCAAAAGTTATAAATTCATATTCTCCAAATTAGCATATCCTTAGTGAATTTACCAGAGCAGTGGGGCAGCCATCATCTGCTCAGATCCACACTTTGATTCTGGTGTTTGAATACAGGTCTTGGGAGAGAGCAACAAAAGCCAATATGTTCTCCTCTGGAGTAGATAGCTCAAGAGCCAGCTGTTAGACATGTGCAGCAGTGACTAAAATCAGCATTATATCAAGTCTGGCCAACTTTTGGCTGTTTTTTCCCCATACCAAATGTGCCTCAGGATTGTATTCTACATCTCTGCTCCCAGACATAGTTCCTACTTACTGCAAAAATCCCTGTCCTTTTGAGGCTTTTGCTCCATACCTTTTCCTAGGCTTATTACCACCAACACTTGGCTACAACAATTCCACTAACTTACTGAAGATATTAGCTATTCCTGAAAGGAATTCTTTTATGCCATATTCAATCTCACTAGTTGACTCTCCTGCTTGGGGGTGATACATGACCCATACTAACTTATAAAATTTTGCCTCCGAATCATTATGTTTCATAGTTTTTCAACTGCTATATACCTGAGCTATCACCTAAAATGCAATATAATACTGAAAACAAAGTAAAAATAATAAAAATAAAATAACTCAATAAATTTTGCCATGATGAGAATAAAGAACATGGTGTCAACATCCTCTGGGCTATTTCAATGGCTACAAATTTCTCTCTTTATTCCTGAAATCTCATCTCATAATGGTGTGTGTACAGATGGATTTGCACTAGTCTAGGGAAATAGGCATCCATTAAATAATCAACTGAAAAATAATGGAATCAACTTAATTAGAAAGAATTGAGTGTTTATCTTGACTATAAATTTTCATCTCTTCATTAAACAGCCTCTGTATTAAAAAATAAATTAAGGTAACAAAACAAATGAAATATATTTGAGTCATATTGAAAATCAACAGTGCAATAAGAAAGAACTTATTCAAAAGTAAAAACCACTGACCTTTTTTTTTCAAGGGAGTCTCCTCTGTGTCTCCTAAACCAAGATAAAAAAAAAAATTTAAATAGAAAAAAAAAAAAAAAAAAAACTATTAACATGGCATAATATGGTGTCCTTATTAACTCATTTTCTTTTGTTCATTAAAAACACTATTATTTTTGACAATGACAATGATAGTTCTTACTTTACTTTGCTGCCCAAACTCCAAAGTATGAACTTTGTTTATATACATTTATTTCAGATGGTTTCATTTTTATGAGTTCAATAAAATTGTGGCAGTGGTCCAAATTACACATTATAAGTCATATATCATATTAATTTTAGTTTCTTTCTTGGTCACAGTGACTACTTACCAGGGCCAAAACAAATATAAATTCATACAGAGTCACAGAAGGGGCTCTAATATTAAGAGCTTTCCTGTGAGTCAAGGCTTAATACATAATATCTGAAGACCAACTGACCCTATAAAATGTCATTTAAAAGACAAAATCACTGGGCTTTTGTTCTTTTCATACCCATTGAGAGGCAATTTATGTATAGCTTAAATTTCCTATTTCTTTTTATTCATTAATTATATATGAGTGAGCACATAAGTGAGTTGCCTAACTGTTGTGACATTTACAATGTGTCCTTCCAGTCTATGCCTCCATTTGGTTCAATAAATTTACTCTTTTGATTGTGCTTTTAGTAAGATTGATTTCTGCTATTTGACTATGAATATGACTTATGTATATAAAACATTTATATGTATTTTTAGTTTTATTGTTTTTATTTTAATCTTCCTAGAGATAAACTTAAAAAAATAGCTACTTTTTTTTTTTTTTTTTGCCAGAGAATATCTATTGTGGGTTTATAGTCATGTAAAATAAGACTCTCTCAGCTATAATGTCACCCTAATGGTGTATTTAATTTTGACATCTTTGACATAATGGCAGAAAACCATAATATGAAAACCAAATAAAGACCAATTTACTGCATGTGGCTGCCTACTAAAACACTTTTAGGATTCAGAAGTGTTTTCATTTGGGATTAGTGTGAACCCAAGTGCCCATTTGGGCTAAAACCTAAGCAAGTCACTATAATTCATGTCTAATATTGGTCCTTGTAGTTAGATACAACTTTCTGTTTTCTGTACCTTTATCAATGTCCTCATCCCCTTCCTCATCTTCTTCATCACCTTCAGATGAAATGATGTCAGACAACAAAGAAAAGAAGCCATAGATCCAGTCCGTGGTTTCCTCCACTGCATCATGTACAAGTTTTAGAGGATCTGAGCCAATCTTGGCAATAGAGCTTGCTGAAAGGAATTGAAAGTGAGAGAAAATGTTCACAATCATTCCTGAGGAACCTAAGAAAACATGTTTTTCCTGATTCTTTTTTTCCTTTTGACATGACTAATATGTCAATTTCAAGAATTCAAATATCACGTGGCCATATATATTGCTCAGAAATAGAAACTCAATCTTGTTCTAGTATGCATGTGTATTTAATTAAAAATAAAAGCTATTGAGCACCTATAGTAGCAAATATTATGGGATTTGTAAGAAAGAAACTGACAATTTGAGAAGTCTGTAATCTAAATAGTAGTTTAAGAAAGGGGAAAACAGGAATGAATCAAACAATATATATTTTATTACCCAAATTGCATATATACCCTAAGTTATAGAATTCAGGAAGGGAAGACATCATTGTTGGTCTATTATACTTAGTAGCATCATGGGAATGATGGCTCTGTAAATTGTCACACAAACAACAAGGTCTTCAAGCAGACTAGATCAGTTATAGCTAAATTAAGACTGATTGGCATATTTAATTTGTGAAATATCAGGAAAATCTGGAATTGTTAAGCTAGTGATTATGAAAAGTTCAAGTTAATTCAGTTAGATTTGTCCTTGTTAAACATACCTGCACTTAAAATTTTTTAAAAAGCATTTGAACTTCTAGTAACTGCAATGGATAAAACTAGTAAAAAAGAAAAACTATAAATCCTCCTCTATTTCTCTCCTGGAAGATAAAGACATTGGTAAAATGAGAGATCAAGTAATAAAAAGAGAAAACTTAGGGATTTCCTAAATGCTGTATTGTTAATCATATGAAAAATGCTCCAAAGAGCAAGAGTAGCCTTTCAGGTCTGATTGAGGAGATAATCTATCTAGAAATATGTTATAAACTGTACCTGATTTTTCATTGATATGTAATTACATTTTAGAGTATGTTTTCTTAATTTTAAAAACTATTTTAGCTTTTCAGAGAATCTTCTCCCTTTCATATATTTAAGAGATTAGAATTATACAAATGTATTCTATCATCTGAAAGTTACTTCAAAATTAGTCTTTCACTCTGATTGAAATGGAAAGTTACTAAAAAGTTTGATTAGAGGAATAAAGTATTTTGACTTATGAAACTCCTGTATGTTGAGGATTAAAATGTTGGCAGACTAGAAATAGGGGGACAGTAAGGAGTCAACTGAAACAACTTAGAAGAAAGATGATGGCAGTTCTTATCAGGTGGTAATAGTGTGTTTGGTGAGATGTGGTCAGATTCTGACTGTATTTCAAAGGTACAATCAATAGCATATGCTTTCAATGTAGCTATGGGATATGACAAAGATATCTAGTAATACTTCAAACCGTAGGTATGAGAAACCAGAAGGATGAAATTGCAGGAGTCTGAAGAGAAATTTTGTTTTTGGTTATTGTGTTTTTTTTCTTTTATGGTGGGGGGATAGAGTAGAAAAATAACTGAGTTTTAGTCTTCTCAAACGTATGTTGCCTATTAGACATCTACAAGAAGATTGAGACATTTGTACAGTTCAATATGATCTACAAAAGAGAAAGTTCTACCTGAAGGTGGGAACTTGGGAGTCCAACAAAGGATGTGATGTATTCCAAACCATGAGACTGAATGAGATCACCAAGGGAGGGACTGAGGAACACTATAACCTTTGGAAGACTGAGAGATAGATGATGAGAACAGGGAGAAAAAACAATGGATTCCAAGAAGGAGAGATAAGACAGAGAAAGCAAGAGTAAGAGAGAGAATGAAAGAACCAAGGGAGTGTAATGCACTAGGCATTAAGTAAATAAATCATTTCAAAGAGAGCAGTGGTCAAATGTCAAATGCTACTGATAGGTCAAGTAAGAGGATGACGAAAAATATAACTCTGGATTTAATTAAGAGGATGTCACTAATGACCTTCAAAGAGAACTTCCAGTGGAGTTCATTCAAAATGGAAAAAAAATTACAGGTATATATTGTACTGTAAATGATGGATATTGAGTAATATTTGAAATAGGATAGGATCATAGTTGGTCTTTTTTTAATTTTTAACATTATTAAAGTGGGAAGTATATTCCTTGGTTTATATTAATGAGTAAAATCCCTGAGAGAGAAAAAAAAAATGATTAGAAAGTGTTCCTGGGAAATTATTATTTTATTTTTTATTCTAATTTGTTATATATTACAGAATTTGTTATATATGGCAGAATACATTGCAATTTGTATTACATATATAGAGCACAGTTTTTCATATCTTTGGTTGTATACAAAGTATATTAACACCATTCATGTCTTCATACATGTACTTAGAGTAATGATGTCCATTTCATTCCACCATCTTCTTTATCCCCTTGCCCCCTCCCCTAGGAAATTATTTAATTTTAAATTTTATTCTGTGGTATTGGTGGAACACACAGATCATCCAATGTCCTCAATTTATAAAATGTTAGCCTCAGGGAAGCCTATCTCTATGATTCATCTATAATGTGCCTTTCCTCTTTACACTCTATTTTACTGCATTCTGGAGTTTCAGATGAGCAAAACATTAGTTGTCTGAATGGGGAGATTAAACCTTAGAAAAAGGAAATGAAATGCAATTTTATAATTGCAATTGAGAATCTTGAAAGAATTATATGTAAAGATCTGGATTGTACTGGCACCATTTAAGGCACTTTTAGCACCGGAATATTTTATATCTAGTGGAAGAATATTGCAAATGGGATTTTTTATGATTAAAATAGATTGAAACTATTTCCTCATTTTCCTCCTCCTAAAACTGAAGAATTTCAATATAAAAATGCAACAAAATAGGCACCAGTTTAACTGTCCTTATGCTTAACACACATTACATATATATGTATATATTAAATATATGTATATATCACACACACATACACACATACACATACATGCAGAGAGAGAGAGAGAGAGAGAGAGAGAGAGAGAGACAGACAGACAGTCAGACAGACATCTCTGGAGTATAAGCTATAAACTTAGGATAACTTTAGAATTTTTTTTCTGTCCTGGAATAAATATTAGTAATCTCTCCAAATATGCAGTTACACTTTCAAAAATATAAGTTACCTGTGGCAAAGTGAAGCACCAATATTTTATATGGAAAATTCTGTCTGTATATATATAC